ATGGAAGTCACCATCTCAATCTTCAGGAAATGTGATTCATTGCTATTAAGCTTTGTACAAAATGCAAAGTGATTTTTGTCTAAGGCCATCAATCCTTCTCATAAGACCTTTGGAATGCTGTTAAACAGTTTGCTAAAAAAAATACCACACACTGACTAGGGATTTTGCCCTCAGAAGAGCCTCTCCCATGCTTTATCAGAAGCTAGCACCATTGCTTCATCTTCCTTTCAAAATCAGTACCTGGAACATTAGGCACAAATGATGTGAACCCTATCACAAGTGCACACTACACTATCAAGTGAAGCAGAAGCACTGAAAATAGAAAGGCCACAACTACAGTCTGCACAATAAAAACTTATTAGGCAACTAGTGATGTACTTAATTCATTCTCTCTCTCTCTCTCTCCTTCCCAGTTGCCATGAGGTAAGAAGTCCTTCTTTACTACGCCATCACATATTATGTTCTGTCGCACCTCAGGCCTAAAGCAAGGTGTTCAGTCGATGATAGACTGAATGTTATATGACTATGAGCCAAAATAACTCTTCCCTCTATTAAGTTGAATTTTCTCTGGTATTTTTGTGAGTGAAATGGAAATCTGAAACATAAATCAAACTGGAAAGTGTGAAGGCTCTATCAGATTTCTGGTTCAGAGTTTCTCAACCTGTGCAACAGTTTTATGTTCTTCAAAGGAACCATAAATTGGACATTTTCACACATTCCTTTGCTCCACTACCTTCCATGTATAAGAAGTAAATATCACACATTTAGAGGGTTTCACTTCCACTATGAGTAAAATGGCTTTAAAAGCAACAGGAAAAAATGATTTACCACTTCGATAATGTTCAGAGTTTTTGTAGTGTGAATCCTCTACTTGAAGATGACGAGGAAAATTGGTCATTTACCAGAATTTTTGCATTCAAATAGCATTGCTACATTACCATTTCTTTAACGATTATTAGAGGAACTGCACCAAAGGTGTTTACATTAATATATGTTTGTTCTGATTGTTTACATTAATATAGCTTTGTTCCAATACAAGTTATTTCATGTTTTTTGAATGTCACTGCAACAAATAAAGGATTTGCTTTTTATATATAATGTTCGTTCTTATATTTGAAAATAGCAAGATTAATTGAAGGCTTTTTCACATTGTTGACTCTCATTAGGCTTCTATCCAGTATGAATCTGTTTATAATTTGAAGCTGATAATAAAGGAGGGCAGGAGTTATGGCTCAACAGTAGAGCACTCACCTAGAACATGTGACGCCCTGCGTTCTATCTTAGCACCACATAAAAATAAGTAAATAACATAAAGACATTGTGTCCAACTATAACTAAAACAAACATATATATATATAGAAAAAAAAAAGAATAAGGAAACATTTTTTACATTGCTTCCATTTACATGTTTTCTCTACAGCATGAGTGTGTTTATACCGTTGAAAGAGAGTGACAATCCTGATTTGTTTTTCCAGACTTTTTTCATACAGTCTCTCTCTGGTATGAGTCTTCAAACTGAATTAGAATGAGCAAGAGTTGTACCACATTGTTTACATGAGGTAAAAGTACTTATTGGAGGTCTCTCTCCAATAAGTTCATTCATGTACACGAAGATATACACAACTAGTAAATGCTTTACCACATCATTACATTCACAGAGCTCTTCTCCAGTATATTTTTATGTCTAAAGCCCACTGTAATAAGTGAAGGCTTTCCCACATTGTCTACATTCACAAGGTTTTCCCCAGCATGAGTTTTGTCATGTATCTGAAGATAATTCAAACCACTGAAGGCTTTACAACACCATATATTCTCATGGGGCCTTTCTCCATTGAGATTGTTCATGTATTTGAAGGAAAAGGGGGAAAAACATGAAGATTTTTCTTTTATTTTAAAAAATTTTTTAGATGCTGATGAACCTTCATTTTATTCATTTATTTATAGGTGGTGAGGAGACTCAAACCCAGTGCCTCACACACGCCAGGCAAATGCTCTACCACCGAGCCACAACCCCACCATGATGGTTTTAACACATTATTTACATTCATAGATTCTCTCCAGTGTGAGTCTGCTCAGGCACATGAAGATAAACAGAACATCTAAAGCTTTTACCACAATGTTTACATACCCATGTAAACATTCTTTCCAGTATGAGTTTTTTCATGGGAGTAAAGTTCAACGGGTGAAGCAAAGTCTTTCACGCAGTGTTTACATTCATAAGACTTCTTTCCTATGAGTTGGTTCATGTGAGCAAAGTTAACTGGATGAACAAAAGGCTTTCCCACAGTGTACACATGGATCACGATTTTCTCCAGTATGATTTTGATTAAGTATTTGAAGGGTAGTTAAAGTAGTGAAGGCTTTTCAACATTGTTTACATTTGTACGGATTATCTCTACCATGAATTCATGTGTACAAAATTCAATGTACTTAGTGAAGGCTTTGTTTCACTGCTTAGAGTCATAGGGCTTCCCTCCCATATGAATTTGTTCATGTGCCTGAAGAATAGAGGACTGAGTGAAGGCTTTCCCACACTGCTTACATTCATAGGGCTTCTCTCTAGCATGAGTTCTTTCATGTGAGTGAAGGTTAGACAACCAAGTGAAGGCTTTGCCACACTTCTTACATTTATAGGGCTTCTCTCCAGTATGAGATCGTTTATGTATTTGAAGACTAGACAAAGTAGTAAAGGCTTTACCACATTGTGTACACTCATACGGCTTCTCTCCAGTATGAGATCGTTTATGTATTTGAAGGTTAAACAACCTAGTAAAGGCTTTACCACATTTTGTACATCCATAGGGTTTCTCTCCAGTATGAGTTTGCTTATGTTTATGAAGGTAAGAGAAGGCAGTGAAGGCTTTTCCACATTCTTTGCACTCATAGGGCTTCTCCCCAGTATGAGTTCTTTCATGTGTGCGAAGGGTACCAGATGAGCTAAAGGCTTTGCCACATTGCTTACATTCATAGGGCTTCTCTCCAGTATGAGAGCGTTCATGTATTTGAAGGTTAAACAAACTAGTGAAGACTTTATCACATTTTGTACATCCATAGGGCTTCTCTCCAGTATGAGAGCGTTTATGTGTTTGAAGGTAAGAGAAGGCAGTGAAGGCTTTTCCACATTCTTGGCACTCATAGGGCTTCTCCCCAGTATGAGTTCTTTCATGTATGCGAAGCGTACCAGATGCACTGAAGGCTTTGCCACACTGTTTACATTCATAGGGCTTCTCCCCAGTATGAGTTCTTTCATGTCTGTGAAGGGTACTAGATAAACTAAAGGCTTTGCCACACTCCTTACATTCATAGGGTTTCTCTCCAGTATGAGTTTGCTTATGTTTTTGAAGGTAAGAAAATGCAGAGAAGGCTTTTCCACATTCTTTGCATTCAAAGGGCTTCTCCCTAGTATGAGTTCTTTCATGTCTGTGAAGTTTAGTAGATGAAATAAAGGCTTTGCCACATTGCTTACATTTATAGGGCTTATTTGCAGTGTGAATTTGTTTATGTTTTCGAAGGTAACATAAGGCAGTGAAGGCTTTTCCACATTCTTTGCATTCATAGGGCTTCTCCCCAGTATGATTTCTTTCATGAGCTTGAAGTGTACCAGTTGAACTAAAGGCTTTCCCACATTGCTTACATTCGTAAGGCTTCCTTCCTGTATGAATTTGTTTATGTTTTCGAAGGGAAGAGAAGGCAGTGAAGGATTTGCCACATTCTTTGCATTCATAGGGCTTCTCTCCAGTGTGAGTTTGTACATGGGCGTGAAGGGTAGAGGACTGAGAGAAGGCTTTCCCACATTGTTTACATCCATAGGGCTTCTCTCCGGTATGAGTTCTCTTGTGTGAGTGAAGGATGGAGGACTGGGTAAAGGCTTTACCACACTGCTTACATTCATAGGGCCTCTCTCCGGTATGAATTCGTTTATGTTGCTGAAGAGAAGAGGAAGAAGTGAAGGCTTTTGTACATTGTTTACACTCATAGGGCTTCTCTCCAGTATGAGTTCTTTCATGTATTTGAAGTTTGGAGGACGTAGTGAAGGTTTTTCCACACTGTTTACATTCTACCATATGAGTTTGTTTATGTACTTGATGTTCAGAGGAACAAGTGAAGACTTCACTACATTGTTTACATTCATAGAGTTTCTTCCCAGTGTGAATTTGCTCATGCTTGTGAAGTTTACTAGACGAAGAAAAGGCTTTACCACACTGTTTACATCCATAGGGCCTCTCTCCAGTATGAGTTCGTTCATGTGAGTGACAGTTAAATAACCGAGCGAAGGCTTTCCCACATTGTTTACATTCATAGGGCTTCTCTCCAGTATGAGTTCTTTCATGTATTCGAAGGGTACCAGATGAGCTAAAGGCTTTGCCACACTGCTTACATTCATAGGGCTTCTCTCCGGTATGAGTTCGTTTATGTGTCCGAAGGGAAGAAGAACAAGTGAAGGCTTTTGTACATTGTTCACATTCATAGGGCCTCTCTCCAGTATGAGTTCTTTCATGCATTTGAAGTTTAGAGGGTGTAGTGAACGATTTTGCACATTGTTTACATTCATAGGGCTTCTCTCCAGAATGAGTTTTTTCATGTGAATGAAGGCAAGATGACCGAATGAAAGCTTTGCCACACTGCTTACATTTATATGGCTTCTCTCCTGTATGAGTTCTTTTATGTACTTGAAGTTCATAGGAAAAAGTGAAGACTTTACCACA